ACTGATTAAAATTATCAGTGTTTTTCAACTTGTTTTCAACAGGCAAGTACTTTGTCCTTACTCTAGATCAGCCCCAGTTATTGTTTCCCATTAGAAGCTTTATCTCTGTGCCCTTGATAACACCTAATGATTTGTATGTGGTTAGGCCAGCTCTTTGAAACATTTACACAATTAACAGCTGATTCGACATGCTTAAGTCTTAAGGCTTTCTTTATAGACATAATGAGCTAACAACTGTTTTCTAAAATGTAAAGATCGAGCATTTTATGATTTTTTGGTGGATTTAATCAGTTAATACAGAGAGCTCAATGTCTATGCTATTCTCACCCCCCCCCCCTCTTTGTCACTAGTAGATCACATTTATAAAACAAATAGTAGTAATTTAAAAAAAGAATTTTCTATTATTTACGTTAAAGTTAAGCCACCATAATCTGGATTGTAAACATGATAGTGTTAAATGATTATGCAGGTATAGGGCTGGTAAGTAGGTCACCAACCAGTTCTACGGCTCAATAAAACCTGCATGAGTCATATGACTGGCAGATGACCTACTTACCAGCCCTATATTGCCATCGCCCAAGCTGACTGTAAGCATTCATCTCTCAGGCTAGCTACGCTACCTGCCCCAGACTCTACCCTAGATATAAACCCTAGTTGTGTTGCTTTCGTGCAACCTACCCTAGTTGTGTTGCTTTCGTGCAACCTACCCTGGTTGTGTTGCTTTCTTGCAACCTACTCTAGTTGTGTTGCTTTCTTGCAACCTACCCTAGTTGTGTTGCTTTCTTGCAACCTACCCTAGTTGTGTTGCTTTCGTGCAACCTACCCGAGTTGTGTTGCTTTCGTGCAACCTACCCTAGTTGTGTTGCTTTCTTGCAACCTACCCTAGTTGTGTTGCTTTCTTGCAACCTACCCTAGTTGTGTGATTTCTTGCCACCAACCCTAGTTGTGTTGCTTTCGTGCAACCTACCCTAGTTGTGTGCTTTCGTGCAACCTACCCTAGTTGTGTTGCTTTCGTGCAACCTACCCTAGTTGTGTTACTTTCGTGCAACCTACCCTAGTTGTGTGATTTCCTTTCGCCCCATCCTATTTTTGCACTACACCCACATGCCATTCTTTGGATGTAGACCTGTCTTACCCTATTCAGGTAGGTAACTTGGAATGTACTAGATCAGCTATGAGGCCCCACCCAGAGCCGGTGCTACCTATAAGGTGAACTAGGAGGTCGCCTAGGGCGCCATCCCTAGGGGGCGCAAAAAGGTTTAATCGCTTTTATCAAAACGTACATAATAACTAATAGCTTTGATTATCTTTTATAAACTATAGATGGTAATATACAAAGGAGTAGCGATCTATTTCGGTGCCTAGGACGAACTATCAATTTTGCATTCCACCCCAAATATAGGTCTTTTTTATAGGCCTATGTTTATTCGCGATGGTGAAAATGCAACCCCACCTCCCTAATTCGGAAAGATCGTGGCGATTTTATCCAGTCACTTTGCATTTTTATTTTAGTGTCACTAATTGATGTAGAAAACGATTAAACAAGTCCGTAATTTAAATTTGGAAATTTCAAACGGTTATCTAATTTGAATGTTGATTTAGTGATCGCTCCAGCGCATGACGGGGCGTTCCGAAAAATAGGGCTTGTAAGTCTCGTTTTCTCTAACTTTGAATTAGAAATCTGTTCTGGTGTAGGCTATAGAGTTTTGTAATGACGGAGTGTTTAAAGTATTGTCACTTGTTTGATAAGTTTTGATGACTCGTTTAGATTTGGGAGTAACGGCGAAAGGCTGTTGCTGATATGGTTTCGTAGGTATAAAGTATCGAAGTGTTAAAGTGTCGATATTTTTATTTGGCTGCTGTGTAGTTGAAGGTCTAGTGGAAACTGATTGGTAGTAGAGAAAAGAGAATGCAGGTAATGAGGTATCGTAGTTCTGCAGTTCGGGACGATTCAGGTATCGAAGTGTGTTGACTGTTAACGTGTATAGTAGGTCCAATTAAATCTTTGTTGATTGGGAGTACCGTTTGTAGAGCTTGATGAAGTTAAGCGAGTTGGTGTTGTAGTTCTGGAGCATCGAGTCTAGGTATGTTTAGGTATCGAAGTTTGATATGTGTTGTAAATGTAGTAGAGTATATCGGATAGTCGAGTTTATCGTAAGTTGGATAATTTCAATTCATTACGGAACACACTACAAAGAAAGGTGGCGTTCTCTAGTTTAAAAGTATTAAGTTTTTTAGGAATCTATATCTACCACTCTTAAAGTATTAATATATTATATTAAACAGGATGGAATTTATAACTAACCGTAAACTTTGTTTTTTCCCAAATTGTATTTTTTTTATATTTAATCAATATTTATAGCAATGTCTTAAACCAGGGGTCTCCAAACTACGGCCCGCGGGCCGGATGCGGCCCGCGAAGTCCTCTCATCCGGCCCGCGGAGATCTTTTTGTCCAAGGAAAAATCGTCTCTTGGTGATGGCTGAGGAACTTTGCCCAGAAAATGAAAGACATGCCTGTAAGAAACTGGCCCCCGAACTGAAATTTGATAGTTAATGCGGCCCTCGGACTGAAAAGTTTGGAGACCCCTGTCTTAAACAGTTACCGCTGTGTGATTTTTTGAAAGACATCCCTTTATTTAGGGGATCTAAATATCTAGTAAACATCGGTAAATCGTTGAACGTAAATTAAAATGAATGTTATCACAATTGAATAAAATTGTTTTATAAAAAAACTACCGCTTTTAGACTTTCAAACAAAAACTATAATTAAGTATTCAATAAATTTTTTTTTGTTTTCACAAGGTTACATAGTTACTAATAACAGATTTATTATAATTATTACGTAATGAAATTTAAAGCGTTTTAAAGTGTTTATCAAGCACTTGGTTGATTTAGCTATTCTTGTGAAAGTTATTTCCCTTGAATGAAATTTTGGTATTTGGATTTTTAAATGGGAGATTATTCGTTGCTTAACTTTACATTCATTTCAAATTCATGCAGCTTAGGTTGACCGCTTACATATACATATAACTTTAGTTATTATTTGCTATTGTAAAAAATTATATAGGTGATTTCAATTCAGGACTGAACACACTTAAAAGAAAGGTTGGCGTTCTCTAGCAGAAAAATCTTTAGGTTTTTTTTAGGAATCTAAATGACCACTCTTGAAGTTTTTAATATATAATGTTATATAGGCTGGAATTTATAACTAACAGTAAACTTTGTTTTTCAAATTATATCTATTTATATTTAATCAATAATTATAGCAATGTTTTAAACAGGTACCCGTGCTTGATTGTTTTAAAAGGTGTCCCTTTATTAAGGGGATCCAAAAATTTTATTAGTCAAAAAAAATTAATCAGATCATTTAATGAATGTCATCAGAATTGAATAGAAGTATGTTATAATAAAGCTACTGTATTTAGACTTTTAAAACAAAACATACAGTTAAGTAGTAAATAAATAAAATATATTCTTTTGATACGGTTACATGAAAAATACAAAATATTTGTTACAATTTTTACTTAATGAAATTTTGAGCGTTTGTTGTGTTTTTCAAGCGTGTCTTTGTTACACTTGGTTAACTTAGCTATTCTTGGGAAAATTATTTCCCTTGAATAAATTAGGTATTTAGATTTCCAAATGGGAGATAATTCATTGCTTAACGTTACATTCATTTCAAATTCCTGCACCATAAGTTGACCGCTTACTTATAAATCCAACTTTAAGTTATTATTTGCAATTGGAAAAATTATATAGAGCAGAAGTTCTAAACAAAATAGGCTGGTAGTTTTTTTTTAGCATTATCCAGTTGAAAATTAAAAACATCAGTAGCCGTTGTAGATTGCAATACTTAATGTTAGTAGACAGACAGTATGAGCAACAAATGCGTCTAAAATCGCCTTAGTCGTGAATTAATCATCTAATTAATTAAATGTCTTTTTTCATAATTTTCACCCTCTCCTAAAGAATTCATATATAACAATTGTAGGCTGGAATCTATAGCATTTATAATCTGTTATTTTTTTCAAAAACAAAAAAAAAAATCGTTACATAATCACACAATATAGAAATTTTACAATTATAACTAAAGACAGTTTAGCTGGGAGGTCTGCAGAGAGCCCAACACTATAAGAACTGTGTTTTTTTTCAGTGTTTCTTTTTTCCAGACTTTTTTTCTTCCGGCAGGGTGAGCACTTGAAATTTTCTAAGGTGGGGGGGGGGGGGGGGGGGGGTTGTTGTAAAGTACAAAGTAGACTCGTAAACTTAGCAACAATTTCAATAGAATGTGATTACGCTTGCAAACTGGAATTGAAGGACTTAGTATAAACTTTTGAAACGATGAAGGCAAGTAAAATTTGATTTTGATGTCAACTTATAACGTGTATGCTATTGATAATAAGGTAATATGCCACTTTTAATTAAGTGTTTTTTTATACAAATGTTTAATTATCGATTTGTGTAAAAGGGAAGTTTTAATCAATTTTGCCTATGGCGCTAAATAACCTGGCGCCGGCATTGGCCCCACCCCCAATTCGCTATACCAAAGCTGTTAACCCCTCCCCCCTCTCACGCTACCATACAAGGGCGCCATCTCACCGCCCCTACAACGACTATAGCCCTGATCTACCACTTAGAGGACCACTGCCCTAAACTCTAGCCAGCGATAGTCCTGATCTACCACTTGGAGAACCACTGCCCTAAACCAGCGATAGTCCTGATCTACCACTTAGAGGACCACTGCCCTAAACCAGCGATAGCCCTGATCTACCACATTGAGGACCACTGCCCTAAACTCTAGCCAGCGATAGCCCTGATCTACCACTTAGAGGACCACTGTCCTAAACCAGCGATAGCCCTGATCTACCACTTAGAGGACCACTGTCCTAAACTCTAGCCAGCGATAGCCCTGATCTACCACTTAGAGGACCACTGTCCTAAACCAGCGATAGCCCTGATCTACCACTTAGAGGACCACTGTCCTAAACTCTAGCCAGCGATAGCCCTGATCTACCACTTAGAGGACCACTGCCCTAAACTCTAGCCAGCGATAGCCCTGATCTACCACTTAGAGGACCACTGCCCTAAACTCTAGCCAGCGATAGCCCTGATCTACCACTTAGAGGACCACTGCCCTAAACTCTAGCCAGCGATAACAGAAGCTAATCAACAACAAAACCAGTACTTTGTACCTGTTCGGTCTCTTTATACCCGAGGTAAGCAGACGCTGAACATCAGCTTTCACACTTTCAAATTATCTTCCGTTCATTAATATACTTATTATTTTAACTTGTATACTGTGCTTTATAAAACAAATTATAGAATTTTTAAATTAATTTGTTTCCCGTCTAAAAATGATGTTAATGTTTTTAAAAAAATCCTGACTGACAGGTATGAAATACCTGTTTGCCAGCATGACTTCAACTATTGTCTGTATCCTACTGGCCGTGGTTACGGTGTGTTCAGCAGTCCCAGCCTGGTACCTGAACGCTAGGCAGAGTTTTATTGAGAGCGAGGCATCCATGCGTGTCGGCGCTGGGCAGGTGAGTGCTTTAAGAAAAAAAAACTGTCACGTCCACGTCTTTTAGATGGTTAATATTCGACTTAACTTTTTTTTTTTAATCGGGTGATAATTGGAAAACAGGCGTTTGCTCGATGATCTCGCGTCTCTCACACGTTGGTATAGAAATATGGCTCTGGTCAGCGTTGTAGAGCCGATATGAATCTATACATTTCATGGGTAGGCCTAATCAAACCTGATGCTAGTGGAGACACACTTGAAGGTTCTTACTAGTAAAATTAGCTTATACACGTTATAGACATATGGCTGCTATGAATATATACATTTCATGGGAATATCTAACCTGACTCTAACGGTTCTTACTACTTGTATTAACTTATACATGGTATATAGTCAGGGTTGTAGAGCGGCTAGAGCCGTTATGAATTTATACATTTCATAAGAATGAATATCGGACACTAACGGAGTCACACATGAAAGTTCTTACTAGTAATATTAACTTATACTCGGTATTGACACATGACCATAGTCATGGTTTTAGAGCCGTTATGAATTTATACATTTCAAGGGAATATTTATGTAATGGTTCTTACTTGTAATATTAACTTATGCAAGGTATAGTGTTAGGCAGTGGCGTAGCGAGGTCGGGTGTCACCCGGTGCGGCACTTAATGGTGTCACCCCCCAGAGGCGTAGCGACCCTTCCCGGGGACAAACTTTCAAATTTTCGATTTGCACCCCACCCCTCAAACTTTCGATTTGCACCCCCCCCCTCAAGTTTTTCTCTATATATTTTACTATTTTTTGCCTTGGTGTCACCCCCCTAAATGGTGTCACCCGGTGCGGTCCGCACCCCCCGCCCCCCCCCCCCTCGCTACGCCTCTGGTTTCAGGCCATTGTATGCGTAGTACAGCCGTTATGAATCTCTACATTTCATGAGAATATCTAATATGACGCTAATGTTGTCTACTAATATTAACTTCTACCTCCCCTGGGAAAAATGTCAAGGAACGCTTATGAGTATCGAACCCTTCTATTTTTCACAAAAGTGAATATATACGGTAGGCAAAGATTGTTAATAGATAGTAAAATGCCGTTTTATATAGTAAGAAACTTTCCAATACCATAGGTGTTGAACGCCAAAGAAGAAAAGGTTAACAGGTATCTGATGCAGTTGAAGAACGCGGCCGTACAGGAGAGCATCACTTCCACCATCCCCTACCCTCCAGCGGTATCGTTTTTTAAGAGCAAGGACTGGATTGACAACTCCACTATATACGATATCATCAAGCTCATGCCAAAAGGTATGGATTATAATAATTGCGACAGGAATGCGCTTTCTATTTAGTTAAAAAGTGCATCTTTTCAAGGCCATTTCTTTTCTCATTGTTTAGTATTATTATGCAAGAGTACTAAATATCAACATTAAGATAATAATTTATTAGTAAAGTTTGTCTTAGCAGATCATTACTATGTATGTAGCAATGAAAACAAAAACACCGCCACAAAAACAGTGTTGACTAAATTATGTACAAGCAATTTACAGTAATTTAGCCGTAACTGTACTTAAACTTATATGTTACCTTCCCTTGAAATATGGTCTACTTCAGGATTAATTATTTAATTAATTAATTACTTTTCAGGCGGAGTCCTGCACCTGCACGACGGCGCCATGACGTCATTGAACTGGACGGTCAAGACGCTCACTTACCTCCCCAACTTGTACACAAAGAAAGACAACGACAGGTTTTCTACACGGCTGTTTAATTTCTCGGTTACCTCCCCTGGTAGCGGTGAGTTTTTTTTTTTAGGGTAGCTACTCTAGGACAACTCTAGGACATGTACTAAGCGGAAACTCCGGAATATCTCAGGAGGGGGTGGGGTGTGCGTCGAAGAGCTCCAAAGCTCCCTTTCCCAGACAAAAAAAAAATTAATTAAAATTTATGTAGAAAAAATGCACTTTAACCAGATTCCGCAGCCACGGAAATTGTATGTATAGCCCTCTCCTCCGCCCCCCCCCCCTGAGAGAAGTGCATGGAAGAAACCTTGATACAACGTGCAAGTATAAAAAGGTTCACAAATTTAGCCTTACAAATACCTAAAATCAATACAGTTTATATTTTCCTGAACTATAATTCTAAAAGCGATAGCCCGGATACGATTTAGTTAAAAACTATAGTAATCTTTCTTATTCATAGTCTATCGCAATGTTTATAACGAACGTATGCACCATAGGGCTCACAGGATATCCCAGGGCGCCAAATTGCACCATGCCGGGGCGCCGACGGACGCGCCTGATTCAATTTAGTGAAATACTATAAACCCTAGCTTGTTCGCAAACCGAAAGATAGAAGCAAACAGAAGTGGCTTCTAATCCGTTTGAGCTTTATGTATTAGATATAGTGAATGCAAAGCGTCTAAGAATTCAGGGTTGGCTAGCACTTTGGAAGCGATGGGATATGTTGCGCTTTCAGCGGCGGGGTTTAGTGTAAATTTGATTTAAGTAATCTTTTAAGCAAAGAACACTTTTTTTGTACTAATTTACAATTTAATTGTGACATAGGCTACCTGTTTAAAAAAACTAAATTTTGTAGTAACTATCATATTAAAATAAAATACTTCTTTTTTTAAATACTTTTATTTTCAAATATTTTAAATACAAAGCTTTGTTTTTTTTTGGTGTTTTTAAAAAAAATAAAATTCTTTTTTATAACTTTATTTCAAATATAAAGTAAAAAGTAAAGTTTCCCTTTCAAACCTGACGGTCTATGGGGCAAGTAGAGTTCTTGAACCCGGATTCGAACTCGAGACTTACGGGTAGCAGTCCAGCTCTCTACCACTAGACCACTCCGTCCCATTATTTCAAATATAAGCAAGTAATAAATCAAATACTTCAATATGTATATGTGTATTTGTTTGTGCATTCGTCTGAACAAATTCAAATGTTTACAAAGATTTCATTACAAGAACAAAACGATGATCAGTTATTTGACGATCAAATCGTCCAAACGTAGGTAAAAAATAGTAACGGCACTGTATTTTTTTTTCTATGAAGATTAGAGTCTGTGTAAAGCTATTATATTGTGTTACCTGGCCTAACTAATTATGGTGTATAAGTGTGTCGCTTGTTGTTTGATTAGGATGTTGTATATTTTATTGTGTCTTCCCCAATAATGCTTTTGTTTCCTTGGAATGTTGCTAGCATTTCCCCCATAGTGTGGTGTTTAATTTTAAAATGCTCTATATGTTTAACCCTATGTAGTATTGTGCTAATGGATGCTAATGTGGTTCTATCCTTATTCTATCCAGATGTTTTAAATCGGAAGGTGTTTATTTTTTTCTGAATGTCATGTAGCCCTATTCCTTCATTTAATTTGTTTTGAATTAATTTTATTTATTCTTTTATTTTTTTAAATTTAATTTAATTGTTTTTTTTTTAGTTTATTTTTTTAAAATAATTTTATTTTCCATAAAACAAAATACAACATATTTATAGTGACATTGTTTACATAAATTTTGAATGAATAAATACATATGTTAATTATATACATGAAGAAGGTGGAAATACAACATTTTTACAGTACGCTGATTTGCGTTTCTTTAGTTATATACAAGAAGCGAAAAAAGAAAAACAAGAAATACAATTTATTCACAGTGACTTCTTTGACTTGTCTTTTAGTAAAGAAATAAATGAATCATATGTGTGGGAGAAAAAATATATATATACATATAAAGCTCTGGTGTATGTAGTTAGGTGGACTCGTGGTCGTTATACTTATTTGCACCCAGATTTGAACTTGGGACTTTCGGGTTAGCAGTCCAGTTCTCTACCTCTGGACCACTCTTTCTCCATACAACGGAGTTGAGTTTATTAGTTAGTTTATTTTTTTAGTTAAAAAAAAAGCATACATCAAAAAGACAGAATTCAAACATAAAGTAGATTTTTTATCAAAAAGATAAACTGATAACACATGTTTAAAGCGTTTTATTTTCAATTACAAAGTATTTTTAATACGCAGTTTACAAAAAAATGTGAATTAGACACATTATTCAGAAAAACATAATTACATTTTTTATTTACTTAGTATTATTAATACATTTTATCATTTATTTGTTACACTACAGACAATTGTTTGGGTTATCATAAATTATGAATCTGTGAATTGGATTACTTCCCTTGAGACGTAATACATTAAAAAAATATATTTAAAAAAAAATTTACCCATGTCCGAATTAGCTGACAATGTAAATGGGTCATTTCCTTAACTGAAGCTAATTATTTTGGTGCTAGATACTAAAATAATCATGTTGATGAATGTGTGTGTTTGGGGGGGGGGGCACATTTGTTTTTTTTCCAGCAAAACTTATTCTCGTTAATGGTAAAGAACTGTGCCTGTACATGTTTATCTAAATACGTTGTATAGCCTACCTGCCATATTTTACAAGAGGTTTTTTTTTTTTTGGGGGGGGGGGGGGGGATAGAAGGACTGCGTGTGTAATTTAAACTTTCATCCGGTGAGTGTTTTGTTATGTGAGTGAGTGTGCGTGCCAGTGGCGGAACTAGAAAAAACGGGCCACCCCGCAAAAAAAAAATTCTGGGCCCCCCCCCCTATATATATATATATATATATATATATATATATATATATATATATATATATATATATATATATATATATATATATATATATATATATATATAAACATTGGATACTCGTTTCTGGCCTAATCAGGTTTTGAGTAAAAAGTCTTTTTTTTTTCTCAATTTAAACAAATTACAACATGTCTTGTGTGTGAGTACTTTGGTCTGTTTTGAATTTTTTTTTTTTTTTAAAGTTAGACTCTAGAACTAGTTTTTTTTTTCTAGAACTATTCAATATGTTTGTTATAATACTGGCTAGCCTTAAGTTAGGCCGGTCAAAGGAATATAAAACGTGAAGGCTTTGTATGTGTAATGGTTTCTCGTGTTATGTTTATTTTTTCTTTCATTTATATTTATATTATTTGTTTTAAATATATTTCCTTCTGATGCTATCTCATTCTTTAGTATGTATGTTTTTAAAAATAATAATGAAGAGAAGTAATTGCTTTTTAATTTGTTTAATACAAATATATTAAAAGGAGCTAATGAGCATCCCTATTTAACTATTTAGAAAAGGGAAATAAGTCATGGAAGTGTTTTGAACGTTTGCCTACCTTACACACTACATCTCAGGCATATATTTTTTTTACGCAACAGCATGTGTTAGCTTCTGTATAACATCACTACAGTATGTTTGTTATTTACACAATCTTTTACCGTCAAGTCAAAAATGCAAGAAAATTATTTTTTTAACTATAAAAAATGTATTATGGTCGGCAATGGGCCCCTAAATGGCGTGGGCCCCCCCGCAATGCAGGGTCTGGCGGCACTGTAGTTCCGCCCCTGGTGCGTGCGTGTATGGTTAAAAGTAGATACATGTTTCATAAAATAATAGGGGAGAATGTAGCGAGAAACATGGGGGTGGGGGAGGGGAGGTGATAGGCTGTAAGAGAGAGGGCGAGAGAGTGAGAGTGAGCGTGATAGCGAGAGAGAGAGAGAAGGAGTGGAGGTTAGAAAGAAAGGTAGACCTCTTCAGTACTGTCAAGTAAGACAAATTGTCCAATAAAAACCTAGTGTATTTTGTGTTTTATGTTTTTTGTAAGACCTGTTTCAACAGTGTAACGTAAGACAATATGTCCTATAAAATCTAGTGTATTTTGTGTTTTATGTTTTTTGTAAGACCTGTTTCAACAGTGTAACGTAAGACAATATGTCCAATAAAATCTAGTGTATTTTGTGTTTTATGTTTTTTGTAAGACCTGTTTCAACAGTGTAACGTAAGACAATATGTCAAATAAAATCTAGTGTATTTTGTGTTTTATGTTTTTTGTAAGACCTGTTTCAACAGTGTAACGTAAGACAATATGTCCAATAAAATCTAGTGTATTTTGTGTTTTATATTTTTTTTGTAAATCAGACTGGGACCTCGTGTCAGATCTGCGACAGAAATCTGGCAACGTCGAGCAATTTGACGAGATGTAAGTTTTTTATTCCAATTTTTTTATGCACTATTCTTGTATCCACATGACTGAGACGTTTCATTGCAGATTATTTTTTTATCCACATGATAGAGACTATTATTTTATCCACATAACGATACCATATTGTATCCAAATTATCGAGACTATTCTTATATCCACACGACATGACTAATATACTATCAATACAGAGACCGTAGCTACCCTTCCCGGCGCCCGGGGACAAACTTTCAATTTGGCGCCCCCCTTGGGATCAACCTTTCAATTTTCTATTTGCACCCCCTGGAACTTTCGATTTGCATCCCCCCCCTTGAACTTTCGATTTCAATTTGTTTTTCCAACGCGGTCGGCGCCCGGGGACATATGTACTCCCTGCTCCCCACCCCTTCGCTACGCCTCTGTATCAATATGACAGGCTATTCTTGTAACCACATGACAGAGACTATTCTTAAGCGGAACTATGGGTTGCTATGTGTCTTTTAGTACCCTTCGACTTCGTAATGTATGCAGACCCTTCCCGGCGCCCGAGACAAACTTTTCGATTTGCACCCCCCCTCGAGATTTCGAATTGCACCCCCCCTTCAAACTTTCGATTTGCACCCCCCCCCTCCAGATTTCGATTTGCACCCCCCCCCTTCCATATTTTGATTTGCACCCCCCTCCCTCAAGCTTTCAATTTGCACCCCCCTCAACTTTTCAATTTATTTTCCCAACCCATTTTGGCGCCCCCTAAGCTCGGCGCCCGGGGACATATGTCCCCCCCCCCCCCTCGCTACGCTACTGAATGTATGTGTGGAAACATTCGGTCTTACAAAATACAAGAAATCTTTAGGATAATTGTCATTTTTTAAATTTAAATTTTATTGTGCGAGATTTGTGGGTGGAATTAGTATTATATCAAACATGCTTGCTAATATTTAAATAGTGCTGAACTACGATACAGTATTTAGTTTCGCTGTTGTGTAGTATGTTTTTTGCGTGAATGAGAATATAATTTTAACTTCTTCTTCTTCTTCTTCGTTCTTAATTATTAGTGTTGAAGGGGAACGAGATTTATCTGCCAGTGGGTTTGAACTCGAGACGTTGTTCGAATTTATCAACCATGAGCTTTTTTGCCGACTCGACCACGCCTCCAACACAATTAAGCGGTACGTGTCAACTGGTTATGCGCCATTGAGGCCATTGACTCCGATTTCAGCCTGCTTTTCTTTTTGGATTTGCTTCCATAGCCTTTGTCCAACCAAGAACAAACTACAAGGCAGCAGTTGTTTAATTTTGGAGTTGTCTCTCCTAGAAGAGTGGCTGTCCCCAGTTAACGAGCCTCATCTGCCCGAGGGTTCGAACACGAGACTTTTCGGTTTGGCAACCATGAGCTTTACCGACTCGACCACGCCGACCCCTTAATTTTAACTAAATGTTTGAGGACATGACATGAAATCAGGTTCGCAGAAAAAAAAAGTTATATTTAAAAAAAAAGCATTTGTGCCTATGTGCGTATATTGTTACATTCTATTTTTTTATGTGAGTATATTTATGTGTATGTATGTTTTGAAAATAGGCATGTGTGTGAAAGTATAACAGGATACGTTATGTATGTGATTTTTTATTCGCATAAGCGTACTATAAATCTACTCGACCCCCACCCCCTCCCCACACCTCCCCCCACACATCTCCCCACAGGCTGATGGATGAGATCTCCATCAAAGTGACGGATCCGTTCATCTCATACCCGTCCATCAACGACGTCTGGCAAAAGTTCAACTGCTACTTCAACTCCATGTTCGGGCTCATCCACAACCTGCCTAACATCAAGTAAAGTACTGTTTCACACTTTTAACTTGTAGTGACACCATGGTGTCAGAGTTTCTTCCAAGCATCTGTTCGGGGGGGGGGGGGGGGGGGCAGAGCCCCCGAAATTTTTTTACCGCCCCCCCCCCCCCCCTCCGAACGAAATGAAATTTATATAATTTATATAGAAAATATATACTTTTAACAGTGTCCGCCCCCCCCCCCCGAAGAAAGTCTACCGCCCCCCCCCCCCCCGAAAATTTCAAGTGCCCCTCCCCAGGAGAAAAAAGTCTGAAAGAAACACTGCATGGTGTGCTGGTCGCATCGTGTAACACCCTAACTGCAGAGTTTCTTTCAGACATTACTCAAACTCATCTTCCCCTTCCATGAACCACGTCTAACACCCCTCCCCTCCGGACAATATATATATATATATATATATATATATATATATATATATATATATATATATATATATATATATATACGTTAAACAATGTCCGTTGCCCCCCCCCCTCCTGATATTTGAAGCACCCCATCCCCCGTCCCCACACCCCCGTCCCCACACGGAAATTTAGAGTGCACTACATGAGAAAAAATGTCTGAAAGAAATCTTGCCTACCTTGTGAACAACTGCAAATACTGCTCTATTGTCTAAAACATATTATAAATACGGGTATCAACCCATACACACATCGAAAAGAATGAATCTTACACGAATATAATGCAACGTACTCACCTTCCCTTTCAACACACACTGTCACTCCATTATCAGGACACAATCAAAACTAATTCGCTCTATAATTTATCGATAAAATAGCGTTAATTATACATGAATATAATGGTAATTTGTATATACAATTTAGCTTTGCAAGCAACAAATCATAAACAAAATAAGTTTTTAAAATTATTTAATTAAAATAATATCGTAAATGGTATTGCTAATATTATGAAATACTTTAGTTCTAATTACTTTCATAGGCGACCAGACAATAAATGTTTTATAACCGTTAACCTACCACTATTTCTACCATAAAACGACAGGCTTTACGTGGAGCAAGCGCTGAAAGAATTCTACTCAGATGGCGTACAGTATATGGAATTTCGGTCCGGATTTTTTGTAAGTTTTTGGTTTGGGTTTTTTAACAATCATCGAAATGTGTGCTGATAAAAATAAATGTCAATTAACATGTCATTTAAAAAGTTTAAATAATAAAATTCTGTAAAAGTTCTGTTTCTTAAAGTCTGTAAAACTTTACTGACGTAACTTAGATACATATATCGTATTGTTTATGTTAAGCTTTATTTTAACATATTTTTTTTAAACAAGGTGGACACCAACGGAACTGACGTCACAGAAAGTTATTTAAAGATCCTTCAGACAGCTGTTACGGAATTTAAACAGCAGCATTCAGATTTTGTTGGGGTTAGGGTTATTATCCCGGGTACCAGGTAGGGTTAAGATTATTTGACTTAGTAAGGGTTAGGGCTTTAAATCGGGTATCACACGTGTGTGTGTGTATGTGGGACGAGAGGGGTATAAAAATGTAACAACATATATTTTGTAATTTTAAATGTTAAAATTGATGTAACTCGTTAGTTTCATTGATATTATGGTTATTTGAGAGATGGGGGAGGGGGGGGGGGTTGAAGGCTGAATAGGGTGGGGAATATGGACAGAAAGTCTGGGTTTCCAGATGAATATTGATTGTAAAGATAGGGCGAAGAAGATGAAGCTCTCATTAAAAGGCATGACAGCTAATAATGGATAATAAACAGCAGTAAATAATCTTGAAAGTAAAAACCTATAAAGACATTTTTGTTTTCAAATCAGATGTGAATTACGTTCCAAAGAGATCTAACAAATAAATGACGGTAGTTTCAATGATATCGTGTTTCTATCACTTCTAAGATAGCTTTAACAATTTTTGTAAACATTTTTAATAAACAATTTTTATCCCACAATAAGTCGTTGTGTCAATGTTTAGGTCATCGTCACCTGACCAGATGGCTAACGAGGTGAGTCGAGCCCTGGGTTTCATGCAAGAGTTTCCAGACCTGGTCATGGGGTTCGATCTGGTAGAGCAGGAAGACACGAACCACGACACTTTGTACTTCGTTGATCAGCTGTTGAAGGATGACCGCTCAATTATGCCGTACTTTTTTCATGCTGGGGAAACAGGTAGGGCGGGGATTGAACCAGGTATGTTGGGGGGTAAGGCAAGTAGAGTGGGGGGTAGGACAGGTAGGGTGGGGGTAGGACAGGTAGGGTGGAGTGGGGGTGGGACAGGTATGGTGGGGGTGGGACAGGTAAAATGGGGGTAGGACAGGTAGGGTGAGGTGGGGGTGGGACAGGTATGGTGGGGGTAGGGCAAGAAGGGTGGGGATAGGACAGGTAGGGTGGGGGTGGGACAGGTAGGGTGGGGGTGGGACAGGTATGATGGGGGTAGGGCAAGTAGGGTGGGGATAGGACAGGTAGGGTGGGGTGGGGGTGGGACAGGTGTGGTGGGGGTAGGGCAAGAAGGGTGGGGATAGGACAGGTAGGGTGGGGGTGGGACAGGTAGGGTGGGGGTGGGACAGGTATGATGGGGGTAGGGCAAGTAGGGTGGGGATAGGACAGGTAGGGTGGGGTGGGGGTGGGACAGGTGTGGTGGGGGTAGGGCAAGAAGGGTGGGGATAGGACAGGTAGGGTGGGGTGGGGATAGGACAGGTAGGGTGAGGTGGGGGTGGGACAGGTATGGTGGGGGTAGGGCAAGAAGGGTGGGGATAGGACAGGTAGGGTGGGGGTGGGACAGGTAGGGTGGGGGTGGGACAGGTATGATGGGGGTAGGGCAAGTAGGGTGGGGATAGGACAGGTAGGGTGGGGTGGGGGTGGGACAGGTGTGGTGGGGGTAGGGCAAGAAGGGTGGGGATAGGACAGGTAGGGTGGGGTGGGGATAGGACAGGTAGGGCGGGATGGGGGGGTAGGACATGTTGGGTAAGGGTAGGGCAAGTACGGTGGGGATAGGACAGGTATGGCGTGATGCGTGTTAATTTTTGTCGTTACAGACTGGAACCAAGGCGTGGATTACAACCTCATAGACTCCGTTCTCCTGAACGCCAGCCGTATCGGTCACGGGTTCGCGGCCATGCGGCACCCAAAGGTTATGGAGGCCGTCATAGCGCGAGGCATTGCTATAGAGCTGAACCCGATCTCTAATCAGGTCAGGGCTGTTCTAAACATGTGCCTACGGATTGAGTCAGGGGGGAGGGGGGGTGGGGTCTAGAAAAATGTTTTAAGAATGCGGGTAAAACGTTGTTATCTAGAACCTTAGTCTACGCAATCGGTACCTCATTATTTCGGTGAGTGATTAATGTACACTCAAGGTTTTCATGCGGTAGTGTAGGAAAACCCGTGTCCCGATAATTATTATCCAAGCGCAGGCATTGTTTACATTTAAATAACACAGTTTTAGAAAAGAAGAACACGCGTCTAAGAACATATGATTGGTAATGCATTGGTGATATCCTTCTAATATATTTCGTCAGACTTTCTTCTATCCCCGCGGCAACGCGCGGGGGGGGGGGGGGGGGGAGGGGGCGGGTACGCTAGTAAGTAATATTTACAACATAAGCACTAACTAATACTACAGTAGTATCAGATTAATATTAGTAATGTTCAAATTTTTATTTAGGGGTTTGGCTTGTCCCACATGGCTCATTATTTTGTAGACCCTGTAGTCGAAAACAGTGTCTCGGATGCGGGGGGGGGGGGGGGGGGGGGGGGAGGAGGAATTCGGAGGGCACTTGAAACTTTCGGGGGAGGGGGAGGAGAACTAAATTTTCCGGGGGAGGGGATCGTACAGTGGTAAAATTATATATTTTCTATCGGAATTATATTTTGTCTCGGGGAGTGGGTGTTCCCCCTTCCCGACGAGATGTCTGAAAGAAAACTTCTTTACATATATTTTTAAAAATATTTTAGCGTAAAATAAAATTCTTTAAAAAAACCGGGAGTAATCTCCCTTTAACTTTCTCGAATATTTTTATATAACACAACGGGAGATAGCACATCACGATATAGACATGATTTTTAATCCATTTTTAATTATTTAAACTTTGAGTCTCATATAAGTCACATATGAAACACTGCCTACAATCACGTTTTTGTCTCTCTACATCTACACGTACATAACATACTGCTCCTGTCTACTGAGGATTCGACCTAGTGTGAAATATATAACAAGGGTTCCATTTTTTTCTCGAAGGTTCTCGGGCTGGTGAACGACATCCGCAACCACCCGGGCAGCACCCTGATCGGCTACGGCGCCCCCGTGGTGGTGTCGTCAGACGACCCCGCCGTCTGGTTCGCCAGCCCCCTGTCACATGACTTCTACATGGCCTTCATGGCCCTGGGCGGGCTGGAGGATGACCTGAGGCTGCTCAAACAGTTGGCCATCAACTCTTTCGTGTGAGTCGTCTTGTTGGTAAAGTGTGGGGGATTAGGGGAGGATGGTGCTGGTGTAGGGGATTAGGGGAGGATGGTGCTGGTGTAGGGGATTAGGGGCGGGTGGTGCTGATGTAGGGGATTAGGGGAGGGTGGTGCTGATGTAGGGGATTAGGGGAGGGTGGTGCTGATGTAGGGGATTAGGGGAGGATGGTGTTGATGTAGGGTATTAGGGACGGATGGTGCTGATGTAGGGGATTAGGGGAGGATGGTGCTGATGTAGGGGATTAGGGGAGGATGGTGTTGATGTAGGGTATTAGGGACGGATGGTGCTGATGTAGGGGATTAGGGGAGGATGGTGTGGATGTAGGGGATTAGGGCTGATGTGGGAGATTAGTGGCGGTTGATGCTGGTGTGGGGGATTAGGGGTGGATGGTGCTGATGTAGGGGATTAGGGACGGGTTGTGCTGATGTAGGGGATTAGGGACGGGGGGTGCTGATGTAGGGGATTAGGGACGGTTGGTGCTGATGTAGGGGATTAGAGACGGGTTGTGCTGATGTAGGGGATTAGGGACGGATGGTGCTGATGTAGGGGATTAGAGATGTATGATGCTGAGGAACATACTTTATAAAAAAAAGTCTAATTTGCTATTCGGTCCATTTTGTTCGTGTATGTAAACAGATACAGCACACTGACTGAAGAGCAGAAGGAGGCGGCATTACAAAAATGGCAGACCCGATGGAACGCATTTATTGATGACGTCATTGCCAAGTACTCACTACAATAAAAGTAAAAGTTCTAAAAAAACTATTTTGAATTGTTGTTTTATTTTTTTTACAATAATCCACACACAGGTACTACTAAATATGGACATGCTCCATTGCTCTCGTTAAGTGTTTAAAAAACACTTGCGCTTGTGTCGCTAACAGATTTCACGCTTGTATTAGATGGGTAATTTGTTGTCTGAAACCTTTAGCGATTTATTTCAATTGTGAATCAAATCTTTACGAAAAAGACTCAAACTTTGAATCAACAACTTAGAAATTTATCTTACAACTACATGGGTCAAAGTAAATAACGATTTAATGAAAGTGTGGATAAACAAAATAATTATCCAGTTCACATCTATTTATAACAAAATAATTAACATCAATAATACGTAAATACTCCGTAATAAGCTGTAGACTTTACTAAAAGAAGGCTGAAGATTACTCTGATAAATTCTATTGGACATAGATTGCTATGCCTATAATACGTATGTTTATATGGACAAATAGATTATTTTTCATAGGTTTTAGTATTAGATAGATGTTGGCGAAGATTATAAATTAGCCCCAATTCCAATGAAATAGGCACGGCGTCACTTACAGTGGCATAGCCAGGATCGTCTCATAGGGGGGGGGGGGGGGTCAAATTTTTACCCGGGGACAAAATTTCGATTAGCACACCCCCCTCAAATTTTCAATTTGCTACCCCCCCCCCCCCTCAAACTTTTGATTTGCACCCCCCCCCCCTCAAACTTTCGATTTCCACCCCCCTCATACTTTATATATATACCGAGGGGTCTATAGGGGGGTTATGACCCCCTAACCCCCCCTGCCTACGCCACTGGTCACTTACTGTAAGTGTTATATACAAATATACGAAAATGTCCATCATAATATGCACGATTTCAATTAAATATATAAGAAGTAGATAATCTGTATGAAGCAGCAAATTTATGGTATATATAATTCAAAATAAACAAGCAGTATAAGACGGCGGTAGAAAGCTAGACCGCTAACCCGAGAGTCTCGAGTTTATATCCTGGTTCAAGTCCAGTGGAATGTCCTTGAGTTCAACCATCTCTGATGGTGGATGGGCATAGTGCTGACCATACTTTCCTTTCATATGTCGAGGTCTTTGAAGCAGAAGAACTCTACTTCACCTGTCCCATATGTCTTGAGCACGAAAGGGAAATGATGATGTTGAAAAAAAACAGTAGTATTATTATTCAGTGGAAACATAGAAGCAACTGAACCTGAGCTTGTCTTCAAATTAAGTTTTCAACATTACCACAATATAGCTGATAGTTTGTATTTAACTTTCACTTTTATTCTTGTGTTGCAAAAGGCCACAGTTTATTTAAAGATTTAATAGTGTTTATCATTTTCCGATAAGTCGGTACGTAGCTTTATGGTAACTAAATATCCTATTGTTTTTCCAATTCTTGAAGATTTCTGTTCACCTGGAGTGGTACATTATCCCCCCACCCCCTCAAGACCTTACCCCTACCCAAAAACTGCAGTGGGGCATTACCTACCACCTGATAATTACCCATCAGTTAGGCATATTCCATTTCGTAGAACATTTAATATAGCATGGAATAGCATTATCTATTACAATAAATATACTTAATTTTCTAAATTTTAATAAACCAGTGAGTTGTTACAACATAGAGGGTAATAGTTGGGAACGAAAATTAAAAAACAAAAAAAAATAATATTATGAAACTCATAACTATTTTTAGCGAATGTGTAATAGTTTTTCAGGTCAAAGGTATATAACCAATACAAAATTTAACGTAATATCATTTTATTAGTTCTCTCCCTTTGACTGTTTATTTTTAAATTCTTTCACTTATACAGCCATACAACCATTCAGACAGTGCCGGCGCTAGGTTATTTAGCGCCATAGTCAAAACTTACTAAAACGCTCTCTTTCACACAAATTAATTACTAAAACATGTGTATAAGAAAACAATTAAAAGTAACATATTAATTTATTATCGATTGCATACACGTTATAAGAAGACATCAAAATCAAATTTTACTTCGTCTCAAAAGTTTGTACTAATTCCTTCAATTCCAGTTTGCAAGCGTAATCACATTTTATTTAAAATTGTTGCCAAGTCCAAGAGTTTATTTTGTACTTTACGACATAGCCCCACCCCTCTAGAAAAAATTTAAGTGCTCCCCCCCTCCCCTCCCGGGAGACAAAAGTCTGGAAAAAACACTAAAAGAAACCCGCTAAAGTTCTTGTAGTGTTGGGCTCTCTGCAGACCTACTAAGGAGTGTTCCAGAACGAAATTTACCTGTTTTAAGCTTGACTGTCTTTAGTTGTAATTGTAAAAAGTCTATATTTTGTGATTATGTAACGATTTTTTTTTTAAATAAAAGGTTATAAATGCTATAGATTCCAGCCTAAAATTGTTATATATGAATCCGTTAGATAAGACGATTAATTAGATGTTTAATTTACGACTAAGACTGTATGTCTACTAACATTATGTATTGCAATCTACAACGGCTATTGATGTATTTGTTTTTCAACTTGAAAATGCTAAAAAAAACAACTACCAAACTATTTTGTTTAGAACTTAAGCTCTATATAATTTTTACAATAGCAAATAAACACTTATAGATGTAGTTGTATTTATATGTAAGCGGTCAACCTAAGGTGCAGGAATTTGAAATGTATGTAAAGTTAAGCATCGAATTATCTCCCATTTGAAAATCCAAATACCAAAATTTATTCAAGGGAAATAACTTACACAAGACTAGCTAAATTAACCAAGTGTAACTAAGACATGCTTGAAATACATAATAAAACGCTTTAAATTTCATTACGTAATAATTATAACAAATGTTTTATGTTAGCTATAAAAACAATATATTCTACTTATTGAATACTTAACTGTATTTTTTGTTTGAAAGTCCAAATACGGTAGCTTTATGATAACATACTTCTATTCAATTCTGATTAAATTCCTTGATCTGTACGAATTGGAACTTTTTGTAATAGAAATTTTGGATCCCCTAAATAAAGGGACGCATTTCAGAAAAATAAATACGCGTACATGATTTAGACATTGTTAAAATCACTGATTAAATATAAAAAAAAAAATTAATTTGAAAATAAAAACAAAGTTTATGGTTAGTTATAAATTTCATCCTATTGAATATTATATATTAATACTCTAACTAGAGAACGCCTACCTTTCTCTGTACTGTGTTCCGTACTGAATTGAAATCATCTTACTTACGATAAACTCGACTATTCGATATACTCTACTACATTCACAAAACAAATCAAGCTTCGATACTTAAACATAACTAGACTCAATGCTCCAGAACTACGACACCAACTCGTTTAACTACACCAAGCTCTACAAAAGGTACTCCCAATCAACAACGATTTCACAGGACCTACTACTACACTTTAGCAGTCAATATACTTCGATATTTTAATACCAATATAATCAATAGTCCCGGACTCTAGAACTACGATACTTCATCACCCACATTCTCACCTCTCTACTACCAATCAGATCCCACTCGACCTTTAACTACACAACAGCCAAATAAAAAAAAATACGACACTTAAACACCGAGATACTTTATACCTACGGAAACCATACCAGAAACAGCCTTCCGCCGTTACTCCCAAATCTAAACAATTCGTCAAAACTTACCAAACAAGGGACAATACTTTAAAAAACCCCGTCTGTACACCAGACAGAGGCGTAGCGACCCTACCCGGCGCCCGGGGACAACCTTTTCGATTTGCACCCCCACTCAAACTTTCGATTTGCACCCCCCTCAAACTTTCGATTTGCACCCCCACTCAAACTTTCGATTTGCACCCCCCTCAAACTTTCGATTTGCACCCCCCTCAAACTTTCGATTTGCACCCCCCTCAACCTTTCGATTTGCACCCCCCTCAACCTTTCAATTTATTTTTCCAACCCATTTTGGCGCCCCCTAAGGTCGGCGCCCGGGGACATATGTCCCCCCCCCCCGCGTCCCCCCGTCCCCCCCCCTCGCTACGCTACTGACACCAGAATAGATTTCGAATTCGAATTAAGAGAAAACGAGTCTTACAAGCGCTATTAAAATTAAATAACCGTTTGAAATGTTCAAAATTTAAATTACGAACTTATTTAATCGTTTTCTACAACAATTAAATGACACCAAATTAAAAAGGCAAAGTGACTGGTAAAAAGAGACCCGACCTTTCCAAATTAGGGAGATGGGGTTGCCTTGTCACCATCGCGAATAAATATAGGCCTACATAGATCTAATTTTGGGGTCTGGGTGCAAAATTGATAGCTCGCCCTGAGTGCCGAAATAGACCACTACTCCTTTATAAAAGTTATTAATTATTAGGTACTTTTTTATAATAGCGATTAAACCTTTTGCGCCCCCTAGGGATGGCGCCCTAGGCGACCGCCTAGTTCACCTTATGGGTAGCGCCGGGCCTGAATACAGGAAAAATTATTGTGCAAAAATATCGACATTTTACACCTTTTTTACTTTTACAGTTTCGTTAGTCTGTCTGTGTGTAGGCCTATGTAAAAATCGAATTCGAAATTTTCTTTCAACTTTTGAGTGATTTCAGATTTCGGTTTCTCAAAAGCCCATAGCTAGAGTCAGTGGCGCAGCGAGGTCGGGTGTAACCCGGTGCGGCAATTATTGGTGTCACCCCCCCCCCCCCCCCCCCCACCCCGTAAAAATTATATACTGCCTAGCTTCGCTTAAGTTTTCAAAAAACTTTCGAGAATTTTAATGATTAATTAATTTGTGATAGGCTGTTATGTTGAGTGCTTACCGCCTAAGTTTTAACAGTCTAAGTGATTATTTTATGTCATGCATGCATTGGTGGAGCATTCGCAAACATATTACTCAGAAGTTTATTAGAACTGCAACGGCTTCCATAAAAGTATAAATCAACTATTATATTAAATTCACTGTCCCAATTTTTTAAAATAATTTTATTACAATACATAAAATAATATCTAACGAAATATTTATTTAAACGAATGCTATACT